ATACAACATGATAAAACCATTTAAGACACTCCAGAAAGCTGAGTGCCACCACGAAGGCCTTGCCTGCTGAAAGGAGTGCTGCCTTGGTCCCAAGTGCCAGCTGGCAAGGGGTTCCACACCCAGAACACCCGGATCCTCCGAGCCCCTGCTTTGGCTGCGATACCGGCTGGCCCAGGGTGACGTCTTGCACTGGCCCCTGCATGGCCACTGCCCAGCCCCGCGGCCGTATCTGCTCTTTTGGAAGAAGCCGGATCTTCAGGAGGCGCAGTGCCAAGAAAGAGGTGCCACGCTCGCTCTCCGCTACCGGGTGCCAGCCCCTGCTGACTGCGCCACCCTCCACTCCACTCAGCCCAGTAGAAAAGCGCCTTGTCGCATCGGTTGAACTTCTGCGGAGTAATTAGTGCGAGACCAGGCACCCGCTTTGGAGGTGAAACAGTGGCCGCTTCCAGACGTTGGGTCGGACCATCTTGCTTATTATGACGGGATGATCGTTACAAATTGCATTGATACGCTGCTCTCCCGCCAAAGCTCGCAGAGCGGCTTGTTCGGAGCCAGTGAGAGCTGCCCGTGGTGGCTTGCTAGCCAAAAGCGGGACACGCAGGGGAAAGCGACGGGGGGCGGGGGAGGGAAGAAAAGGCGCCTGAGGCACCAAAGACCCGCGCACAGTTTCACCTCCCTGCAGCAGTGCTCTGCACCGGCCGTCGCTGCCCGGTTGCGCTCCGTTTCCCGGGGCCGCCGCCGCCGCCTGGGCCCGCACTCCTGCGCGGGCGACCGCCGAGGGGTGCAGAGCCCGCAGTTCGGGGTCCCAGCTCCGCGCAGCATGCGGCCGTCCTGGGTTGCGCTCCTGCTGGATCCACACGGAGTGCCGCCTAAGGCAGCCTCCGCGAGGGACGGGGACCGGCAGGCGACCGCGTCTCCGGAGAGGCGCTGGGCGCAGGACTGTGGCTTTCCAAACATGGGGGTGCCCGGCCTCCGGAAGGCCCCCGCTGCACCCCTGGCTGCTCCGCGTGCTCCCGCCCGGGCGGCGATGTCCCTCCAGGCCGGGGGGCGCCCCCTCCTGCGGTGTCCTGGGGGCGGCCCGCAGCCCCGCTCAGGGGCGCGGGGCATCGGGCGGGCGGGGCGGCGCTCTCTCGCCTGCCCCAGAGGGACGCGGCGCCGGGTGGCCCGCACGCCCCAGAGGGACGGGCTGGGTGGCCCGCGCCGGGCCGCCCCGAGGGCGGGGCCGGGCGCTACAAGAGGCGCTGGCTCCCAGGTGGGCTCACGCCCAGACGGCAGCAGGGATGGCGCAGCTAGCAGCTCCCCGCGGCGGCGCGGCGGCCGGCGTGCTCCTGGCGGCGCTTCTGGCGGCGCCCTTCGCCCTCGCCTCCTCGGCCGCGACCGGCGCCCAGCTGCCCCGCGCTCCCAAGGTAGTGCGCGGCGGCGCCGCGGCCGGGAGGCGCCCCTGCCCCGCTCTCTGCGCCGGCGGGCGGGCAGGGGCGGCGGGGGGCGCGCGCAAGGGGTGGGCAGGCGCCTTCGGCGGCGCGGCGGGGTGCGCGGGGCGGCCAAGGCGCTCCGAGCGGCGCCGAGCCGGGCCTCGCCGTTCCGGCGCCCTGCGAGGAGGGGGCGCCTGGGGGTGCGGGCACGCAGCCCCTCGCGGTGTTCCTTGGGGGAGGAGGAGCGGCGCCCTGATTCCCGGCGCCGGAGCGTGGCCTACAGTATCCCCTGGCCCTGCGGGAAGGGCCGGTGCCAGCAGCGCCGCAACCCCTCGGGGGCCCCTGGACCGAACCTAAGCAGTGGACTGCCCTGCCTGCCTTGCCCTGCTTCTCCCCCCTCACCACGCCCCCCCCCACTCCTGCTGGATAGAAAGTTGCTGCAGCAACGGGGAACCCACGGAGCGGAACCCACTGAATGCCCCCCCCCCGGCTTCCTCTCAGGCAGGAGGGGGCTGGGAGACGCGGCCTCTGCAGGAGCAGTGCGACCCCACTGAGCGCGGGGGGGGGGCTGTCGACAGCGAGTCCCTGGGCCAAGGGGGGCCTGCGCGCCAGCTCTTCTCGCTCCCCCCGCCTCGAAGACCTTCCCTGGGGCAGGTGCGCGGGCAGCCGTGCCAGGGTGGGGCAGGGGCCGGCCGGCCGCGCTGTCTGGCCCCCCACCTGGCAAGAGTGGGCAGGTGAGCGCCAGCGTGGCTGAGAATGCGCGGCTGGGACCGGCTGCGCGACTTTGGGCCGGGCCCAGACGCTGCCCGACCTACCTCACAGGACTGTTGTTGCGGGGATAGGACTGGATGCGGAGGAGAATTATGCGAGCCGCCTCGAGCTCCTCTGCAGGGTATATGAGCGCAACAAATGCGCGAGCGAGAGCGAGCTGCCCAGCTGCCGGCCCGCCCGCCCGCCCGCCCGCCTGCCCGGTGCAGCTCCAGGGGAGGCTGCCTGCGCGCGCGGGTGCTGGGGAACCGGGGGAAGGGCTCTCTGGGCCCCCTGCCTGACTTGTGGGATCCAGAGACTGAACTCCGCGATGTTCTCCTTGGTCCCTATATCAGGAGCAAAATGTCCAGCCTCTTTCAAAAGTGAAAGCAGAGACAGAAAGCACGGAGCTTTCTGGATTGATTTTCAGGACGCACCAGCAGTGATGCACGAGCGGGGGCGGCGGGGGGGGGGCGATGGTGCTGTTTACGATTTGGACTCAGTGTTGGCTGAACTGTGCTTATAAAATGCAGTATTTCATTAGCTATATATTCATTATACGGGGGGTGGGGGGCGTTTCGACTGAAAGGTGCCGTGGAGGCTTTCCAAGGGTCCCCTTCTTGCAATGTGGGCCACGGGACGCTGCCCTGGCACTGGACGGCCTCCGCCCCGGGCCAGCCTGAGTGCTCCGTTCTCCCCCCGCCCCCGCCTCCCCCCCCCCGCCCCGTAGTGCATCTTGACTGGAAAGTGGACGAACGAGCTGAACTCGAACATGACCATCTTCCCGGTGAATCTGAGTAGCGGCATGTTCACGGGCAGCTACCTGACCGCGGTGACAAGCAGCAACCGGCGCATCCGAAAGTCCCCCATGCATGGAAGCCAGCAGCTGCTGAAAGGGAACGGGCGGTTCCAGCCCACCTTCGGTTTCACGGTGAAGTGGGAATTTACAGGTAGGGATGTGGGGAAGCCGCACCCCACGACTTTTCCCAGAAGATCCAGGCTCTGGAGCAGCAGAAGGGCTGGGCCGGGAGCTCTGACCGCCGGGGAGGGAGAGGGGCCGCGTGTGCAGAGCTGCGGCTGGGAAGGGGAGCGCAGCAGGGGTGGAAGAGTCGAGCTGGGAGGGGCCACGAAGGCCCTCGGGTCCAGCCCCTGCTGCTGCAGGGCACCACGTAAGCCCGTCCCACTCAGACGGTGCCCAGCTCCGCCTTGAATGTCCCCGTGTGGGAGAGCCCCCCACCTCTCCAGGCAGCTGGTTCCGCTGTTCATATTGTCTTGCACGGACCTGGGTCGTCCCAGCTTGACTGGATCATTCCGTCTCCTACGCTCTGGGAGCAGCAGCAGGAGATCTCGGCCCTTCTCTTTGTGGCAATCTCTCAGGTAGAGGGACACCGTGTCCCCCTCAGCCTTCTCTGCTCCAGGCTGAGCATGCCCCGTTCCCTCAGCCTCTCCTCGCAGGGCTTCGCTTCCAGCCCCGGATCATCCTGGCTGCCCTCCCGGGAGCCCTTCGCAGCTTGCCTGCATCTTTCCCGAGGTGCGGCGCCAGAGCTGGACGCAGCGCCCCGGAGGAGGCCCGCCGGTGCTGAGGCGAGGGGAGCCGTGCGGGACGCGGGAGCGGGTTTTCCGTCAGACCAGCCGGAGGGAGCGCTGGCCCTTTCTGCAGCCACACTGCTCTGCTCCCCCCTGTTCAGCTGGTGATCGGCAGCTATTCCAAGATGCTTCTCTCTGGCCGGGTGGTGGAGCCAAGCGCCCCCCCCACCCCAGGCCGGCACCGCCCCCCCCCCGCCCTCCTTCTTCCACACCCTGAGCAGCCTGCGGTCCCCCGGAGAGCAAACGCTTCCTTCTGCAGGAGGTTCTGAGGACCGGGGAGCCGAAGACACACGCTCCCCGGGCCCCAGGCAGGCCCCGTCTTCTCCCGCCAAGGGAGCTGGGCGTGGGGGGGCTCTTGCGCGCCGGTAACGCTCCATGGCTGAGCGAAGGCGGGGGCGGGGCGTCCCTGGCCAGCTATCCACGCCTGCCCCTGCTTGGGTCGCGGAGTGCCTGCAGCGCCCCAGCTCTTTCGCCGCACGCAGGAGGGGGCCTGGGGCGGAGGGCCGCTCCCCTGAAGTGCTGCGTTCGGGTCCCGCAGAGTCCATCACGGTCTTCGTGGGGCAGTGCTTCCTGGACGAGGACGGCAGGGAGACACTGGAGACCATGTGGCTGCTGCGGAGCAAAGGGGAAAGCCACGGCGACAACTGGAAGCAGACCCTGTAAGCACGGGGTGGCGGGGCCGCGGGCCTGCGGTCGGCAGGGCGGCCCTGGGGAGGGTGGGCCCCTCGGAGACGCCCCTCTGCCGGCTCCGCTGCAGCGTTTCTCTCCCCGGAGGGGCAGAGCCGCCCTCCCTGCCCGCACGTCCGCCCGCCCGCCCGCTCGCAGAGCCCCGCCCTGCCGAGGACGTCGCCCCGGAACCCGCCCCGCCGCACACGCGCCTCCCGGCGGCAGGCGGCGGACACGGGCGGCCCTGAGCGGACAGACTGGCGCGGGGGCAGCCCGGGCCGGCGTCGTCCCCGCCCCGACGGACGGAGGCCGCCCCTGCCCACTGACCTGCGGCCTCCCCGCGGGACCTCCGGAGACCGGGCGGCTGGGCGCCCATCCGCAGCCACCCACGGAGCCTCCCGTGAGGTGCTCGGCGGCGCGGCGCGGCGCGGCGCGGCGCGTGCTGCAGGTGCCGCTCTTGCGCCGCTGCGGCCGCCCGGTGCGGCGGGGGGTGGAGGGGGCCGGGGGCGCCTGGCCGCAGTCCAGCCCTGCCTGCCACGCGCTCCCCCTACCGGTTGCCGAGCGCATGGGGCGGGCCTTCCGCGGCCCAAACGCGAGGGACCCGGACTCACCCTGACGACCCCCTCTCCTCCCTCTCCGCAGGGTTGGCACAAACACCTTCAGGCGCCTGCCGTGAGAGGAGCCCGGATACGGCCTGCAGCGCTCCCAGCTCTCCTGCTCGCTCGCGACCCGCTCCAAGAG